CAGTGGACGCATTAGCCCAGACTACATGTGCATGGACAGCACCATCCCAAGGCGCTGCTTGGCGCAGATGCTACTGGCTATTGCGCAAATGGAGAAAAAATACGGTTTGCGCTGCGCCAACGTGTTTCACGCTGGTGATGGTAATTTGCATCCGCTCATCATGTTTGACGCCAGCGACCCCGATCAACTAGAGCGTTGCGAGCGCTTTGGCGCAGAGATTTTGGAAACCAGTGTGGCTCTGGGTGGCACAGTTTCGGGCGAGCACGGCGTGGGTATAGAAAAACTCAACAGTATGTGCGCCCAGTTTAGCCCCGAAGAAATGGAGCAAATGCATGCTATCAAAGCGGCGTTTGACCCCAAAGGCATACTTAATCCAGGCAAGGCTATACCCACTTTGGTGCGCTGCGCCGAATACGGCAAAATGCGGGTGAGTCGCGGCAAGCTGCCTTTTGCCCATCTTGAGCGGTTTTAAACCCCAACTCGGGGTTTAGGGTTTGGCGCTTGGTTCTCAGGGCTGGCGTACTTCTGGCATCTCTTCGTCCCTGGCTACAAAGTGTAGTGCTACGCCGTTGTCGCAAAAGCGCAAACCGCTGGGCTGTGGGCCGTCTGGGAATACATGGCCTTGGTGGGCACCGCAGTGTGCGCAGTGGTATTCTTGGCGTGGATAATCCAAGCTGTGGTCATTGCTAAAGCCCAAAGCTCCTCCAATAGATTGCCAAAAGCTGGGCCATCCTGTACCGCTGTCGTATTTGTAGCTGCTGTCAAACAATGGCGAGTAGCAGGCAGCGCATAGGTAAGTGCCATCGCGCTTTTCTTGGTTGAGTGGGCTAGAGCCTGCACGCTCGGTGCCGTGTTCAAACATGACCGAATAAGCCTGCTCACTGAGCAAAGGCTTCCAGCGGCTAAGATCGGGTTTGTGGGGTGTGGAGGATTTGTTCATGGATGTAGTGCTTTCATGAAGGGTTGATGAAGAGGTTTTAGTGGGTTGAGGAACAATGTCGTTATTGTCGTTATTGTTGTCATCGCCTGGGTGTATGCTCCACGCGATTATGCCTTTGCGCAGTAGCTGCATTTGGTTGGCAAATTGGCGACATTCTGTGCAAATTTGGGTATGCCAGTGGGTGAGCAGTCTTGCTCCCAACTCTAGCCTGCGATCTTGTTGGTCCAAGATGAGCAAGGTGTTTTTTTTGCAGTTAATCAGGCGAATAGCCCGCGACCACGCTGTTGGAGCGCTAGAGCGCAAATTGCTTCGCATAGATTGGCCCCTACAAACTTGTAGGTTGCAATTCGCAGTAAGGCTCTTGAGAGTACCAACGTATGGTCAGGCATTCGCGCAGCCGCAGTCTGGCACGATGCAGCAAAACATAAAGGTGCGCGGGCGGCAAGTCTAAAATTTTGCACACTTCTGGAGAGCCCAAACCTAGCCATTCGCGCATGAGAAACGCGCGGGCTTGGTCTTTGGGCAACAAGCCGGCGCAAGCCTCGAGCACGCGAATAAATTGTTTACGCTCCAAGGCGTCTGAGGGTAGGTCTAGGGCGTTGCCCCACTGCGCGTTGGCCTCTTTGTAATAAAAACCTTTTGAATCGTAGTTTAATGCGGATAACTCGGCTATTTCGCCGGTTTCTTCGTCATAGCTGGCGTGGGCACTCATATTGATTTCGCGCATATGGGTACGCAGCGTATCAACAATTTTGTGCTTCAAAATCCCCACCAGCCAAGTGCGCAGAGTAGAGTCGTTGATAAATGCCTGCGGTTTGGCTAGTGCAGCCATAATCGTTTCACTTACAGCGTCCTCAGCCCATGCCTCATTGCGTAGCTGCAGACGTGCGAAATTCATGAGGTAGGCGCGCGAATTGGCTACTTCCTTGGCAAATCTATCTTTTTCCAGCATATATCCAACCCCCAGATAGTTTCATTTATTGCCAGTAATGATAAAACTGGCTTTTGTATTCTCCTGCATCATACCGCAATAGTGAAGTTATAGGAGATTAAACCCAAAAACCCCCGCGCAGCGTCTGCAGCAATCTCAAAAACCTCAGGACTTGATAAATTCTATAAATAAATCGTATAAAGTCAGGCACAAGGGGTAAAACGGCTGCGAGGGCGCTATTCATGCGGGTTGCAGGCTGTTTTGTGGCCAAAGTGGACTTGGGGCATAAGTTCAACGCAAGCCCGCTATTCATGCGGGCTGTAGGCCAATTTTGGGGGTATTCTTGTTTGCGCGACTTTGGGACAACGGCCTCAGGATATAATAAGCCGCTTTTGCACCAGATCCCGTACACCCGTATTCCAGCGACCCAAATTTTGGGTGTAAAAGCGGCTTGACTTGCATAAAAACAAGCGGAAATGTACCAAGGCTGTACGCCATACTCTCGGAGACTTTTGTGGTTCCTGGTTTGCAACCCCGCTTTCCCCACGCTGTGTTGGCTTTGGCCGATGGCACGGTATTTAAAGGATTTTCCATAGGCGTGCCTGGTAGCACTGTCGGCGAAGTGGTTTTCAATACCGCGATGACGGGATACCAGGAAATTCTGACCGACCCCAGCTATTGTCAGCAAATCGTTACGCTGACCTATCCGCATATAGGCAATTATGGCGTAAATGCACAGGACGTAGAGTCGCGCAAAGTGTATGCAGCAGGGTTAATTGTCAAAGACGTACCCCTGCACTACAGCAATTTCCGCGCCACGCAAAGCCTGCCAGCTTACTTGCAGGAAAACGCTATAGTGGCTATTTGTGGGCTGGATACACGCCAGCTCACACGCCACTTGCGCACCCACGGGGCGCAAAACGGCTGCATTTTGGCGTTATCCTCTGGACAAAACATCACGGATGCTATCCAAGCGCAGGCCGTGGCAGCGGCAAAAGACGCAGCGCCTATGGCCGGCTTGGATTTGGCCAAGGT